TGTGGCGCCCCATCCCTCCCGCCAGTCACACTGACGAGACACAGACCAAATCCTCCGACATCGTCGGCGAAAACGCGAACCTCCGCTGCAGCATCCACCACTGGGCTGTCCATGGCATTGCTGGCCGCGGCATCCTACTCGACTATCGCCAATATGCGAGAATCAACAACATCGACTATGACCCATATACGGCCCACCCCATCTCCTTCGACGACCTCAAAGCGTGCGCCGCGCACCAGGGCATCGATCTCCGTCCAGAGTCGCAGGGCGGGGACATCAAAGTAGGCGACATCCTCATGGTTCGCTCCGGGTTTGTAGAGCGGTATAACCAGCTGACTCCAGCGGAGCGCACGGCGGCCGCCGAGCGCGGACACGATGATGTTAAGTGGGCGGGCTTAAAACAAGAAGAGGCGGTACTAGACTGGCTTCATGACTGCTACTTTGCGGCGGTTGTAGGAGACTCGCCCACGTTCGAGTGCTGGCCACCGGCTGACGGGAACTACATGCATCAGAACATTCTGGCGTTGTGGGGGATGCCACTGGGTGAGATGTGGGATTTGGAGAAGTTGGCAGTCAAGTGCCGGGAAAGGAAGAAGTGGACTTTCTTCATGATGAGCGCTCCGGCCAATGTCGCTGGTATGTGTTGCCTTTCCACCGATGTGGTATTGAGCGATCGCTAACCGTGATTTAGGAGGTGTTGGATCTCATGCAAACGCGACGGCTATTCTGTAGAGCTGAGCTGCATGTATGGACTATCCTTTGTATCAGCGACTCGATTAGCAATATCTATTGGTTGAATCACTCCTCCTGCTTGAAGAGGCACTTATATAGAACCAAGCACTTCTTGCCCTGCAGCGCTGTGTATAGGAATTGCATCCCTTCTACAATGCTCTTACGGCTGTCTAGATTGTACGAGTGATGTATACCTCTTGATCCTTCTTCCGAAGCCAACACCGTCTACTACGGGAGAACATAACAATCAGAGCAATCAGGACTCAACAAGACAATTTCATCATCCCATATTAATATATTAATGAAGCACCAGCGATGATATCAGTCCCAGACATCATCGGTCACACGCTCACGTAGCGGATGCGGGGGGCGACTCGCGGGGCGGGATACAAAAAGTATGCGGATCGAGCCACGGTTCACAGAAAAGAGCTTATCCTCCAGATAGAAAGAACCTCACATCAGTCTGACCCGAAGATATCATCAGCTGAAGGCGGATAGAAACGGCGATCCTGATTCTTTTCTCATCTACAAACCCGCTGCGGATAGTGCACCAGTCTGCGGCCCGCACACAGTACTGCGGTTGGCGGCCGCCATGATGAATGGATGAAGTATAAGACCTCGTATCAAGGTCACCAGATCCTTAGAACGAATCTTCATAGTCTGAACAAAGCATACTCAACATGCGACTGCAACACCCAAACACAGAGTCGGCAAGCAACATGCGATCCACCGCCACAGGCTGGAGACGACTCAGCGTTGGCGTCGTGGGAGGCGGCATCGGCGGCCTCGCAGCATCCATTGCGCTGCGCCGCGCGGGCCACGAAGTAACCATCTATGAGCGCCATGATTTCGCCGGGGAAGTGGGTGCTTCGATCTCGTGCGCGGCGAACGGTACGCGCTGGCTGCACGAGTGGAAGGTTGATATCGCCAAGGGGGACCCGGTTGTGCTGCGTAAGCTGATCAACCGCGACTGGAAGACGGGGGAGCCCGTCAGCGTGTATGATCTGGATGGGTATGAGGAGCGATGGGGGTACGTGTACTACATGTTTCATCGGCAGTACATGCATGCCATGTTGAAGGACTGCGCGATGCAAGAGGAGGGGAATGGGACGCCGGTGAAGCTGCTAGTGAACCATCAGGTAGGCCTCATGACCACGACAATTGATGTGGTACTAAGTGAAGCAGTGCAAAGAAATCAACCTCGAGACCGGGGTGATCACCTTCGCCAACGGCAAAACCGCCCAGCACGACCTCATCGTCGGCGCGGACGGCATCGGCTCCGCCGTGCGTAGCATCATCGGTCTCAAGCCGGAGAAGAAACCCGCCGACTCGAGCTGTTTGCACGCCAACGTGCGCACCGAGGATGCCGTCCGCCTCGGGTTAGTCGATTACTCGCAGCACAGCGCGCTGGAGTACTGGGGCGGGCAGGACAACAGCTGGGACAAGATCGTGCTGTCCCCCTGCAACGGCGGCAGCCTGCTCTCGTACTACTGCTTCTTCCCGCGGGAGAAGGGCGATTTCACGAACCACACTTGGGGCGGCACGGACCGGCCGGTTGAGGAGCTGCTCGCCCCGTATCCCGAGCTGGATAAGCAGGTTCGGGCGCATCTGGCGATCGGGCTGGAGATCCGGCCGTGGCGGCTGTGGGTGCATCAACCGTACCCGTATCTGGTTCGTAATATGGTGTGTCTGTTGGGCGATGCTGGTCATCCGGTACGTTGTTCCCCATTTCAAGTCACGATGCTCTCGGCTGATACGCTGTAGATGATGCCGCACCAGAGTCAGGGTGCCTGCATGGCTATCGAGGACGCCGCTGCGCTGGGCATCCTCTTCAGCCCGGACTATTTTGACGGCAATGTCGCCGAGGCTCTGCAGGCATACCAGGAGATCCGACTACCGCGTGTCACTAAGGTGCAGGCGGCGTCGGCCAAGGCAGCATACAATATCAACGAGCGGATTGGTAGGCACCTCCTGTTTACAGGTGAAGTCGATGCTAACGTCTACAGGCTTCTCAAGCAACACCAATATCCCAAAGTACAAGGTCGCCAGCGAGAAGGACAAGCTGACGATCGAGGAGATGAATGGGTGAGTCGTGACTGTTGATAGGTTCCCTGCACACTGTCTAACCTGCGACTCAGATACGACATGTACAAGGATGTCGAGGAGGTTCTCGCCAAACACCGGGGACAGCCGTTTGCGCAGCAGTATATCCGTGGTCTTCCCGTCGGGTTGAAGTTATCGAATGGCACGGTCGTTGGCCAGCAGCCGTCTGCTCAGATGAAACTTTGACCTTTTTCGCGTGTTATATGATATACCCTTTGCCTGATTGAAGTAGGCTTTTTGTATTTGGTATTGTACAGAATTTTTAATAAATCTTGCCAATAGCTCGAGCTAGGATGAGGTCTCTTTAAGCGATTCATGTTTGTACAGTCCACAGTAAGAGGTTATGGTTGGATCCAGTGGGACTCCATCCAAGGCATATGACGCTTATTCAAATGTCTAGTCAATCAGTGTTCAACACGGATCAGCCTGAGGTAAGAGCCTGTCTGCTAAGCTCTATGAATGTGATGAGATGAGCTGGATGAAACTGAGAGGCATGGCAAAGGGAAGAATAGAGTGTACAATTCATTGGCTAGGGGTACAGGTGTAGCCTCCACTGCAGAACAGTCTACTTTTAATAGATTCATATCCTAGTTAAACTCATCTGGATACTTGAATACACGATTAATCCCACGGCCCACGCCAAATTGGATATGATTGATAACATCCTTTGGGGTGAGTGGTTGTGCCTTCTTCAAATTCCGCAGAAAAGCATCCTTGTTATGACGCAGTATTTTCAGTGCACGATCTCGGGCCCAAAATGTCTCGCTACTCCTGCGTAATTTTTCAATCTCGAGGCACAGATGTCGCCAGTCAAGGTCTTCATGTCGGATCTCGCTCAGCTCGACGAGACGAGGAGCAGCTCGACAGCGCCAATAGCTGTCCATCGGAGGGCAGTGTACGGCCTGACAGAACCGTCGGACGCTCAGGTAGTCCAACCTGTCGAAAATCAAGCAGAGAATGTCACAAGGCAGATTTAGCCGTGGCATCCTGGACCTCACTCGGGAGGACCGGCGCAGAGCCGGAGCAGGTTCTGCCCGTCGTCGCTTGCATTCTTCGATCAGCCTGCCGACGACCGGGCTTCGAAAGGGATCTACGGTTGAAACAGATCAGAGTCAGCCATCGTTTTCATCGATTGATTGATTGATTCGGCCCCAGAGATGCCGGCTACTCGTACCCTGCGCGCTTCGCTTCTTCACCCATGAATCCCAAACCAGAAACTCCTCGGTGTGGAGTTCCGTCATCCTCTTTAATGAGACAGCAAGGATGGTAGGGAGACGATTCTCCGCGTCAGCATCAACAAATCTCAGGGTCAATGACCAACAGGAGGCATGGACCACAAAGGCGAATTCACGCCAGTCCACCGGCTTAGCCAATAAGCTGGACCACAAACCCACATTCTGAGCATGGCACCTGACGAGACCGGATGGGTCTCGGCTGGTTAAGCCAATGCATGCCTGGTTCCTGTCGATTGGGGCCTTAAAGTAGGTCTCTCTGGGATCTGCAAGATGTGCAATACCGGATAGTCGGTACGTCTGGCTCGAGCGATCAAAATAGACTGTGTGACAATCAGCTCAACTCAGTCGATTAAACGACAGAAAGGAAGCCAACTTAGACGCAAAGTATCTACCCACTCTTCCTTCTCCCGGAAGCGATACGTCCTTTCCAGCTCGTCTGCATCAAGCCAAAGCAGCTGGGCTCCCTGACCCGACTCCTTCAAATCCCTGTAATGACCACAAATCGATTGACAGAAGCCAAAGCCGGCTTCAATGCCACATACGACACAGCCGGTGTAAAATCGGCCACCCATTGAGACTATTTGGTGTGAAACTTGGAGTACTCAAAGGAAAAAAAGTCTGATAGTATCTGAATATTGATGTCATGGTGACAATGGTAAGCAATCGCGTTCCTCCGGCTCTACAACGTCGGATTCGATGTGAGAACCAAAGGAAGAGATATGACCATTCTATTTGATACGGATACTACCTCTAGAGATAAAAAAAAAAAAGCGAAGTAAGAATCTTCACATGTCCACGTTCCAAATCATTCATGTTGGTAACTACGAAGGTATGGTGCCTTATGAAGATTGCTTGAAGCTTGACAAGTGTCTATCTAATGGTCCTTGCTAGAAGTAGGCCATTTCAGCCACGGTTGGTACCACGACTCGACTACCGCCCAGCGAGGCGCTCCTCTCTGATCTCCATGAGGCGCTCATGAATGGTGGCAGATTGGGCCAACAGGTCATACATGCCGGTGTAGAGCACCGGGACAGATTTGGCCGCGTCCCACTTGTAGAACTCGACAGATCTGCCGATGGCGATAATGGCGTATTGCGGATGGCGCCATGGGTGCTGACGCACAGCAGTGTGCACTAGACCCATAATCTTCGAGACCGGAGGGTACGAAGAGAGAGGAAGAGGAAGAACTGTAGAAGGACAGTCAGGTATTGCATGCAGGTTCGTATAACACTCGGTATAAAAGTCTTACCTGGTTCAAAGCAAGAAGCTTGAGCAAAAGCCCATTTTAAATCGCAAGGAGGTGTGGTTGCGTATCTCAATTGGGAAAGCGTGATGCTCCAAGTACTGGCAGCATATCATCCAACTACCTAAATATGAGGCCTTTCAAAGACCTCTGAGCATACACTGTGTTGGTTTCTGCGCCCTCCTGACCAACAGTATATGTCAAATTTGACAGCGTCTTTCTGCATGCCTGCTTTCACCCATCGCTCCAGTTGATACCGCAGTTCGCGGGCTGCTTCCCCGGGCAATCCATTCTCAACTCGATAAACGAAGCAATCGTTGAGTTTCGAAAAGAAGAGGTCGATATCGTCAAACTCATCGATGGTCTGGTCACCATCGCGTCTGAAACATACCCCTGTGCGTGCGGGAATCGTCCAATCTAGGGCTCTGGCGCATGTTTTCGAGTAATGCAGTGTCTTGGATGAGACATTGTGTAATCGACAGAATGGTAGGGTGACGATCTGGTGGTCCATGAATTCGTACTCGAACCACGGCGCATATGTCAGACTTCTCAGTGGTTTCCCTTGCTTATGCCATTTTCTTCTCTTGTCTGCTGCGTGACGAAAGTGGATATCCACGGTTTTTATAGACTTTGCCATACTGAGAAAGTCCACTAGCACCTGGAGCCTTTCGAACAGTAGTATCAGTTGGCCAGGACTTGAGGGTTTTGGTGGCAGGATGTCGACGCGCACAGGTACCCTATGGAAAGGGAAATTGTTCAGGCCGCGATAGAATGCGCGGCCCATACAGCCAATGGTGAATCTCAGCCTGAATTTTGGGAGTCTACAGTAAGTCCATACTGATTCGAGCGGATCAATGGTGAATGAAACGGTAAGGTTGGAATACAGATGATGAGATATCTCGTCGTGTAGCCTCCAGCTCGTGCGCTGGATAGTGAGCGAAGTGTTTGGTCTCGGCCACGGCTGTTCTTTTCCCGGATAACGTTCGGTGTCTGCATAAGGGAGTAGCCAGTCCCATATACAGAGCCGCAGCTCAGGCGGCAGCTTTGCAAAATGTCCGAGTTCTGTGCGTTGGGGCGATATAATTTTTGGTAGCGTGGAATGATGGAGGAAAATGGGTAATGTTGCGATAGAGATTCATAGTGTATTGGATGACTCACTCATCAAGTAGAGGGAATGACATCGAAATAGCCTCAGCAGGGCCCTTGAAGCTTTTATCTAGTCTACCATGGAACGAGGAGCCACTTTCCCAGTATCTTTCTATAGCTTTGTTACCGCGCAAGGAGAGTTTCATTTGATCTATCACTTTGGTACCCTAAGAGAATCTACATGGACTGAAGTGTGTAGTAATATTGTTGATCGCTCAGACTTGGGACTCCTCGACTCTTGGTATGCATTGTACTACATCTATTGACTTAAGTAGGCCATTGTATAGAGGCATACTTTGTTTCAGGGCTCACCCTACAATTCCCAAAGATTATTCACTATATAATCCTGCCCCGCGGGTAGGATTAACCATCGAGTCCATTAACACCTCCAATTTATATGGCAGTGTTTATCTTAAAGCAAGCCATACCTGGGCTTTTTTCATTGTTGCTCAGAACTTTCCTAGCAAAGACTGACCCTATTGTGCCTAAGCCCCTGCTTCACCGTGACAGGCGAATTTGATTGAAGATTGTCGAAGACCCTATGGATTAGTGTATACTAAAGAACACAGCCTCTTGGTATTCAGACATTGTCTTGAATGACTTGTTTCAATTCATTGCAACTCTTCAGTATATATATCAAAGAATAGCCATTCTAGCTACAGCCCGGGGCCTCACTATTCTGCACTTGCAAAGAGATGGCATTCTAGGCAATAGACCTTATTCAATCTCTAAGCATAGATGACTGGCCTGCATAGAGATCCACACTGCAAGCCTGGATGCATTATTGATGAGCGTACATGGCTTCTAGCTCATTGTCGGGGATCACAATGGCATTGCTTGTTAACATGTATAGCAATCAATCTGCAGACTGAACACATCCTGCTTCATTAGGAACACCTTGTCAGTGATTTGGTGGAAGAAGACAATTTTGTGGAGACCGGTTGGAGCGGTTAATGTCGAGAGAGACTTACGGAATGAAGGCCACGCCTGCGAACCAATGTGTGAATGGACCTCTGGAATACCGCCCGTTTCATCAATGCAGCCGTCTTTGGCACTCGGCAGGAGAGCGCGTTGACTGATGAACAAATACAGGAACGGGCATCCTATTCACAGTTCCCTCATTTCCACAGTGAAGCCTAGTTTGCGGCGGCAACTGGATAATCTAGGACATAGGCGATTGCAATGTCCTAATTGATAAATACGCTGCTCTCCGTCAACGACAGCTTTCATCAGGAGATCCCTAAGAAGCAATTCTAACTATCATCCTCTATCATCCTCATACAAGGTAAGCTTACGGATATCTTGTATATCGACAGACAGCTAATCGGAGAACAGTTTTTACACTTCTGCCCGATATCACTTACACTAGCCAAAATGAGCATTCAGCCCGTAAGCATTTCTTTGACCATCTGTGTGTTGTGCCCTTGCTGATTTTTCCTGGTATCCAAGTACGATACCCTTTTGATGACGAGTCCGCGGCCGCAAGTGTCCAGGACTATGAGGGCGCCGTAACTGGCGTCTAGGATCTCCTCCTCAACCATTACTTTAACCAACGTGATGGCTTTGTCCATAGAACCCAGGACAAAGTCGAAGGGGGCTACGTTGATATGAGTAGCTACCAGTGGGTAGTTCGCCCAAATCAACCTAGGCGTGGGAGGACACCATTCCTTGTGACGCAGTGCAAGCGCCCTGTAAGAGAATGACAAGGCCAACTGGGCGGAGGGGTCTGAGCAGCTGGAACGCTATATGAGACACATGGTGGCACCCTACACTTTGATTCTTAACGCCAACGCGTGCAGTTCTAATCTACCTCGCCGAGAGCCAATTTGAGGATTATGCGGGCCGACTGTGGTAGTGCCTTCAAAAAGCGTCAGTCGAGGACAGTACGGGCGAGACGATTACGGCGACACCCTAATTGCCTGTGTCAATTACTTACGAGAGCAGAGAATGGATGTGGACGAGGAGATGGCCCGTCTGGCAATACAAATCTACACGGAACGAAACGAGGCCTGCCATACAGATGGGAATCCCAGTATCGCCGGCGACTTGCAAGCACTGGGCAAGCCTACCGACCGAATTGAGGTGCTCTCCCAGGTACTGCCAAAGACCAAGTGGCGAACCGTGAGATTTTGGAGCGACTGATGCATTTCTAAGGAGACAGTGCTAGTTGGCTCGCACTACTTTCGACAAGTTCCGGGTCTTCGAAGCCTGAAGAGGAGGGCCTGCATGCCTTAGAGTACATCCTACCAAAACAAGGCTCATGTTCCTAATGTAGACGTATTCGCATGGACTCTCATCGACTATGTTACCATTGGGATTTGCTATATTTGACTATTGCGATTGTGTGCTCTTCACGCTGTTCTTAATCAGGTATTAAAAATCAATAGGAGCATATCCATAGATCGTCTGCCACATGTTGTTAGAGGGGTCGTGCTCGTTCCGCGAGAAGTGCAGAAAGGTTTGGTCACGGCTTCGGCTCAACTTGGCCATGTCTTTCTCCGTCGTTTCAGGAGGATAGCCGTCTTGTGGCCGAAAGATACCGAGAGGCTTAATTCGTGCTTCGCCAGGGACGAGCACTGCTGGTGTCTTGGTTTCCATCTCGGTAAGCGTAGGGTATGGGCTGGCGCCAAGGTCGAAATCCATGCTGAAGGGACTTTGACCGGCACTTATTGCCGTCCCATACATTTCTTCTAGCGTCATGATTCGTTCGCCCATCGTGGCACCAAGGTCGCGCTTGTAGAGCCCCTCCACCTGATGTGATTGACGGAGCAGAGCGAGTGCTGTGCGTCGGATTGTAGGTTCGCGACACCTGACGCATGTGAACCAAAGCGGAAGACCAACGCTGAGTTCAAAGGTAAATGGTGGTTGGGTGCCATCATGCCGCGCTGAGCCACTTAACGCGATGCTAGATTGCTCAATTATAGTTTGAAAATTTTGTAGATAATCGTCAGTAGTGATCCGCGATGGCGATCTGCAGACCCCGAGCATGACAAATAACATTTCATGGTAAGCGAGGAGCAGAGCGCCGGTACTAGCTTGGGCTGGGTCTTTTGTGCAACGAGATTTCATCGAGTTAGTAAATGCAGTGTACCAGCTCCGTAGCCTAACGGACAGGGTTCTTCGCTGATCCATCATTTCTCGGGATATACAGCAGGCATGCGATTTTATCAGATACTCTTCGCAAGCTGATTCAAACAGCGGGATCTCTATAGCTAGGATAACGATGGCCTCCCGAGCAGACTTGAGGGAGACAAACTCGTGTGTGGATGCAAGGTCAGTCTCTTGCAATAGACTGCTCACTAGAGCCCCCGCACTAAGAGTGACTGCTCCTAGTCGGACAAAAATGGGGATAATTGTATCCCTTAATATGGAGGTTTTGGTTGCTGTCATGGTCCTGCAAGCGAGAATGAGCTGCACACCCTGACTATAGAGGCGTAAAGCTTCCTCCATACCTCCTAAGAGGGCCTCAATGCAGATAAATAAGATGCATGTAATGAGTCCGACAAAGGTGTCTATAGTTCCCCGTTCAATTCCCCGGCGAACCGCAGACACTGAGCGCGAATACCACTCCAGCGCGTCTCGTTGGCTCTGATTGAGAAAGCGGGAATGATCCCTGCGTAGAGAGACGAGATCCTGTTCGGGATTGGGACTCTCAACCAGTGAGCTGACAGCGATCAGTGCATCCCACACAGCAGGTTCACTCCGGCAAACCTGCGGGACAATCGTGCGCCAGAAATCAACATCCAGTCCACCGCCAATGGACGCTGCAGCGTACTGGAAATAGTAGGCAAAAGCGCGACGCTCTCGCCCTACTGTGTTTGAGGACAATGAAAGGGAATTGTCAAGGATGGGTACTGCAGAAGCCGAGGAGAAAAATGTGCAGGCTATTGTACTTTCATACTCGCACTTGCGACCAGTGCTAGTGCATCGGCGACAACGAGGCTTTTCTTCTCCACACTTGACTCTTCGAACTCTAGAACGCGATTTAATATCTTACACTTTCTGTGAAGAGGATGAAGGTACCAACTTGCAGGTTTTGCAACCCAGTTTTGATCTCAGGGGTCTGAATCTGATTGAGCTACCTCGCAAATCGGCTAACAGGCTAACGGACATATCGATGGCATTCCAGAGCAGAGGCTCCCATTTATAGCCAGAACCATACGGGACTTTGTAAGAGAGATGGTTCGCGCTGCAGACAGATGATCAATGTACGGATGCCATGGAGCATGCACGCAAGGTTAGGTCGGGAAATCTGCAGTTGCATAAACATGGAAATGATTGGCCAGAACCTGATTTACCGGAAAATCATTCAACCGAAGTCAGTGGGTCATTACTGCCAAATCGGGATGATAACTAATCTCATTTCTCATTTCTCATTCTTAGTAATTCTGAGCGGAATAAGCCCGTCAACATCACCATACTGATGTCTGATGATATGCGCTGTGCACGCACGTCATTTTAAATTTCAATTAGCAATCAGAGTCTGTCGCTTCCCTTATGGAGATGTTGAAACTAATTGTCTCACTTTATTGAGATATCCCGCGGGATTACTAGGCGGAAGATGACAATATCAGCCATGGTCTGACAAATCCAGGGGAGTTTATACGAAAACGACCACGGATAGTTAGTGATGTCATTCATTTGGCGAGAATGATAGATGTTATAGTGGTACACATGAAAGCTATAAAGCCATCGTGCTATCCATACCTAGGAACAGCCTCATCTAACAGGTCCTTAACTCATCCATTTTGATTCCTCACCAATTAACAAATATCATCTGCCAAATGTCGCCAAAAGTAGCCATCGCGGGAGTAAGTACATCGTCGCTGCACTAACACATATCGCATCGTCGTCAAGAGTTGCTAACATACCTCGGCAGGCCACTGGCAACCTTGGCCCAACTGTACTCAGCGCCCTGCTTAGCGCCGGCTTCGAGGTGACTGTCTTAACCAGGGCTGAAAGTGACAGAAGCAACAAGAACTTCGGCCAGGCTCGCGTGGTACCAGTCGACTACAGCTCCTTGGACTCCTTGACAGCAGCCCTCAAAGGCCAAGATGTAGTCGTCAACATCCTCGGCGCTATCCCCCGAGACGTCCATCTCAGATTGATAGACGCAGCCGTCGCCGCCCAGGTCCCGCGCTTCATCCCCTCAGAATTCGGCTCCGACACAACCAACGCCACAGCAGCCAAGCTCCCAGTCTACCAGGACAAGATTGCCATTCAGAAGTACCTCCAGGAAAAAGCAGCCGAGTCTGCGGGCACGTTCTCCTACACCCTCCAGATCAACGGCCCTTTCCTCGACTGGGGTCTGACTGGCGCGTTCCTACTTAACTGGCGGGGCCCAGAAGTGGAGCTATATGATGGGGGTGAACGAAAGTTCAGCACGACGACGCTCGCGGGGGTAGCCAAGGGGATTGTTGGCATTATCAACAACCTCGAGGCCACGAGAAATCGCACAGTCTATATCCGAGAGACTGATGTCTCTCAGAAGGATCTGCTGAAGCTCTCGGGCAAGCAGCTGCCCACAAAGACCATCAGCACGGCAGAGCTGGAGAAAGAGGGTTATGCCGAGCTCGCCAAGCCGAACCCTAACCCAGAGGTGTTTGTGTTCAATTTCCTTAGGCGAGCTATTTTCGGGGAAGGAACCGGCAGTCTTTTCCCTGCTGAGAGTCTCAGTAACGATCTGCTGGGCGTGAAAACGCTTACCAAGGAGGAGCTGCAGGAGATTGTGTCCAGGTCCACCAAGTAGGTTGTATGTAGAGCTTTACTATCCTCGCATGATTGTCAGTACATAAATATACTAGAAGATAGCTCGTGAAACGATCCCATTCTATCTGATTATCGCATCACAACTATAACACACCTCAACTAGAGGAGCAGGCAGTCTGCAAATAGACGACTAGAAGCTAGGTTCAAACGGCCCCTTCAACAATCTCAACATTTCCCTCGGATCATCCTCATCCACGATGAAACCACGGGCATACTTCGACACCGAGGTCGTAATCACAAGAGCGATATAGGCAACATCGCCCCGAATCCGTCGTACATCGTCTCTCATCCACCCATACCTCCGCAAGGCATGATCATATTCAACCCGGTTCTTGTCGTCTAGATCCGAATACCGCAGGGCGCCTATCTGGAAGTCTCCGAAAGCTGGGAGCGTGGGCTCATCCGGCACAGCTGGAGGGTCTGGAGTGTCAGGGTCGATGTATGGCCAGACATTCTTGCACATGGACGCCAGCCGGATTTCCTTGTACCAAGCTGGCCAGTCGTTGCGATCTGTGAGGATGATTGGTTTGGCTGGAGCGGTGAGCAACTGGCTTATGTTTTCATTCATTATGGGGTACGGCCAGTCGAAGGTGGGGTTTTGCAGATCTATTGTGTATACCTCTGAGGGTCGTGGAAGTGTATCTAGCAAACAATGACGTTGATTGCCACCAATTCATTCAAAGCCTCAGGCATTCAATATAGACTTTGAGGAGAGACATGGAGTCAGCTGACTCCCCAAACCCTAAGCAGCATCAGGCATACAACCAGATAATGATCTACACTTGTGACACTGTTGTCGTTCAGTAGAAGTTTGCATAGTTTAAAGCTCTGATTATGCCATAACATTGCCTAAGCAGAAGATAATACTGCCAAGGGCTGTCTACGTACGAGCAAGTCGGCATTGATAATTCCACCTTGGCCAAGCCGAACCAAAGCTTAGGGAGGCTTCTTTTTCAGGGGTAGACTCTGATTGATGGACTTATCAATCCCCACGATTTCCCCAGATTTCTCCGCAAATTAGTCGTTTCTTCAAGGGGAATTTATGATTGATGGAATTGCTTAGCTGTGGGATATAGTTTGGAAATTGCGTATGCGTTTACCTCAAGCTTGGTGTATAGCATCTCCTGACACAGACTCCTCGACGTCCTCGTTTACAGCTGACCGCTATGTATAAATAAGCTGAATGCGTCTGTAATCCACCGTAGGAAGTAAACCAGCATCAATCGCTACAGAATGCTAGGTCTTTCGCTCGCCCTAGCTGCCTGCGTGGCAGTCACGCAGGCTCTACCAGGCTACCCGGTGGTGCGCGACACCTCGGGCACCTGTTCTGGTGTGCATGCGCGTGTGTCTCCTCCCGCCGGAGCAGTGGTCGTGGATAACAGCGCGAAGCCTCATCCAGGGTCTCATGCAACTGTGCAGGCCGGTGTCAATGCGCTCAACACCACCACGACCAACCCCCAGCAGCTTTTCATCTTCCCAGGCACCTACACCGAGCAGGTGTACATCCCCCGCCTGAAGTCGAACCTGACGGTGCAGGGGTACACCTGCAACGCCAAAAGCTACGAGCACAACAAGGCGACCATCACGTACAACCTGGCGCTGATCAACACCACCAGCGACGACCTGACGGCCACTCTGCGCCAGTGGAACCCCAACACCAAGATCTACAACCTCAACGTCGTCAACACGTTCGGCCACATCCCCAAGAACGGGCAGAACCTGGCGGTCTCTGCCGAGGCTGACGGCCAGGCGTACTATGGCTGTCAGCTCATCGGATACCAGGACACCCTGCTGGCCGAGACGGGCCGCCAGCTGTACGCCAAAAGCCTCATCGTCGGCGCGGTGGACTTTATCTTCGGGCAGACGGCGCTGGCCTGGCTCGAGAGCATCGACATCCGCACTATCGCCAATGGCTACATCACCGCGTCCGGCCGCGACAGCGACTCCAATCCTTCCTGGTACGTGATCAGCCGGTCCAACGTCTCGGCCATCAACGACACCATTCCCGCGGGCATCAGCTACCTCGGGCGTCCGTGGCGGGACCATGCTCGTGTTGTCTTCCAGGAAACTTATCTGGGGAACAACATCGCTGCTGCTGGCTGGTCCAAGTGGTCCACGAGCACTCCAAACACGGACCATGTCACCTTTGCCGAGTATGAGAACTATGGACCAGGCGCTGTGTCGCAGGAGGGGCCGCGCGCCAACTTCAGCCAGCAGTTGACTGCGCCGATCGCTATCCGGTCTATCCTGGGAGATCATTTTGAGGATGAGTGGTGGGTTGATGCCGACTATCTGCATCCTAGCGACCTCAAGGAGAAGTCTAAGGCCACGTCGACTTCTTCCTCGGCTGCTACTACAGTTGCTACTACAGCTACTACAGCTACTACAGCTACTACAGCTAC